CTTGCACGAATCGATTCTTATTTCTTATTAAACGAAACATCGAACGAAACGCTTATTATTAATTTGTACAGGTTATACACCGCGGTGATTATACAGATGGGAACTCGATAATGATGATGACGATGATGATGATTGCTGTTTTTAAATATTACGGGGCGAATAATGATCGTTCCGCGGCCAAGCTCGAAATGTTTTTCGTGGGCGCAATTATCGGCAGAACGATTTCCTACGTTCGCGCCGCTACATGACTTTATTTAGCTTTAGTTTGTTGAAACCGGTTGCAAGCGACTTCTCTCCTCTCTTACTGCAATACCGAGAGTTCGGTGCTCCGCATCATTTAGGGTTCCTCGGGTGGAGGAAGGAATTTCGCGTTCACCACGCTCCACAGCTTCTTTCGCATAGAGGTAATCCTTTTTGGTACGGACAGGCTTTCCAACCATTTCACATTGCATTATACTCACAATTTATTTAAGAATTGTCCACTTCTTTTTTTTTTTAACTCGATATCATATCACTCTTTCCTTAAAACAAATTTTGCTTATAGGTTATTACGAAAGATATATAAGAATCTCGAAAGGAAGAATTTCGAAGAGGTTAGGTTCGCACTTTTTTCCACTCTTTTAAAATAAAAACAAGATAGATGTTGTTGTAAATAATTATCGAGGGAAAAATTAATGAATTATAATATATGTAATTTAAAAATGAAAACGTATAACGAGATTATAAAAAAGCTTCACAATCTTCGGGGAACGACGTCCAAGTGCGAAGAAATTCGGTCAGGGCCGTCATCACTCGACTCGATCTTCCGCTTTTTGCCATTAAAGCAGTCGCGTCTTAATTATCCTTTTTTTCCCCCCTCTCCTTCCCCTTCCCCCAATCGATGCTTGTAAATTAAATTCCACGGTTGGCTAACGTACACGTACAAGAGGAAAGCGGATCAACGTGTGCCTCGCATTAGATCGTGCGTGGGCTGCTTGCGTCATTAAGCATAGTAAGTTACGGTACAAGAATGACTTTGGCTTTGGCGGAGAAAGTGACCGGGTGTGGCTATTGCGAAACATTGTACATCGCACGCATTTGTGTATAGATATATATATATATACACACGGTACAGCTTGGAGCAAGGATTTTCGTTGTTCGCGCTCTTTGACAACCTCCCATTGTTCTGCCCATTTTTTTTCTTCCCCCCTTCGCTTTCGACGCTTAAGACGTTTCTACGAATAAAAGCATTCTCTCTCGAACCGCGATCCTTAAGGATTATTTCTAACAATAAATTCATATGTACAACAGCAATTGTCAATCAATATTGAGCAAGAAAATTTCGATCGAAAAACATTCTTTTTCTCTCTCTCTCTCTCTTTTGTCTCGATGTTCGTAAATTCTTCGTTACATGTGGAGCAAGCTTTTTCCTACGCTTGCTCATGCGCACACAAGATGAACATGGTTGAAAACACGATGGTTTTCGGAAGAGGACGTAAGGCGCGTTCTCGAACTCGCTTATCGGAGGATGCTGAACCACCCGAACCAAACGCGCAAACGGTTTGTCCGGTTTTCGAGGTAGAGTTCATCGAACCTTGGGTTGCAAGGGATCGATCGTGCGTATGGGCTACCGAACGTGTCGCACGTTCGCAAACGACCATTGATCTGTGACGCCTGCCCGCCTACATGTTATCTAGTACCGAGTATATATATATATATATATATATA